AAATTAACGTATCAAAAACATTAAACTAAAAAAAGAAACAACATAAGCCAAAAAAGAAACAGAAAGTTATATCTCAATGGTATACTACAGTCAAGTTATTACAGGTTCTTAAGAAAAGCATGTTTAACTGGTAAAAAAAAAAACTTAATTTGAATACTGATTGAAACAAATAAATTAACGATTCAGCAACCGTGTATGAGAAGAAAGCATTCATCCAAAAAAAAAAAAACAAGGTAAGCAAAACAAAAAAAAAAAGTTATAACGAAGGTTTACTAACCTAAAACCGTGGAGGAAGGAGTAGAGCGGAGGAACAGGGTCAGAATCTGGCGGAGTGGTGGCAAAAGTCCGTGGTAAGCACCTGCGATGGGGAGGACTGGTGGAGGAAGGTTAAGCTAAACAGAAAAAGAATCTTAACCGTGAAGGAAGGAGTAGAGCGGTGGAATGGAGTCAAAAGTCTGGCGGAGCGGTGACAGAAGTCCGGCGAAGCACCTGCGATGGGGAGGAGTGGTGGCAGGAGTCCGGCGAAGCACTGCGATGGGGAGGAGAGGAAGGAGGGAGAGAGAGAATTAGGGGAGGCAAAGAGACGTGTGAAAAGTGGTCGTAGGGTTTAGTTTAGTTTTTTTTATTTTTATAAATTTTTAACTAAAGAAAAATATAGAAAATATTATCTCCTTAAAAAAAAAATTAATATAATTTTAATGAGGTGGTTGTCCACATCAGCTGCCATGTAAGATGGTATTAAAATGTGGTAGATTTATGTGGTAAGCATAGCATTACCCAATAAATTGGCAATGTTATATAGGCCCATTTTTCCTTCATAAAAACCTTGCACTTTTTATAATTAAAAAGAAAAGAAAGCCCAGCATTTGACCCAAATTCGATTTGGATTGGATCATCCAAAATGACAATTTTAGTGTTGGACCAGATGACCCAAAAACTACAAAACATTAGAAAGTAAAACAACTTGTGCAGAAAGCCAAGCTTAACATATACAAACCAAAAACAAAACCTCTCTCTCTCTCTCTCTCTCCTCTCTGCAAAATTCAATTCCTCTGAAAAACCCAACCTTCCCGTTCCTTCCTTCCCAATTCTCGTTAATGGCTTCGGACATGGATCTTAACGCTCCTCACTCCATGGGTACCACCATCATTGGCGTCACTTACAACGGCGGCGTCGTTCTCGGTGCCGACTCTCGAACCAGCACTGGTGAGCCACCTCATTCTCTCTTCCCTTTCCTTCCCCAAAACCCTAATAAGCTTTTGTGCTTTCAACACTCATCGAAATCACTCTTTTATTCGTGTAGGAGTGTATGTGGCCAATCGTGCCTCCGATAAAATCACCCAGCTCACCGATAATGTCTACGTGTGTCGCTCTGGATCGGTATCAATCTCATCAATTTTACTATTTTCATTTAATTTCTTCATTTTCTTGATTTTTCGATCATTTGAGCATTTACCCATTTGCAATTTGCAGGCTGCGGATTCTCAGGTTGTTTCTGACTATGTGCGCTACTTCCTTCATCAACACACGTCAGTCTTTGCCTCTTTGTTGCTTTTGTTTTTCCCATTTTATGATTCATAGCTCACGTTGGGTATCTAATGGGTTTGTTATATGATTGTGTTTGCACAGCATACAGCTTGGGCAACCTGCAACTGTCAAAGTTTGTGCCAACCTCGTCAGGCTACTGTCTTATGGCAACAAGGTTGGGTTTTTTGAGTTTCTCATTTATGGTATCATGGTATCAGTTCATTTGTAGTTTAATAAATAAATGATTGTGTTTTTAACATCATGTTTTGGACATGGCAGAATATGCTAGAAACTGGGTTGATTGTTGGTGGGTGGGACAAGTACGAAGGCGGTAAGATTTATGGAATTCCTCTTGGTGGCACACTGCTAGAGCTGCCCTTTACCATTGGAGGTATGCTATGCTGGAGTACTTAAAATTTCGTTTCACCCTTGGGGTTAGGTTATGGTGCACGTTTTGCACGTTTCTGTATGTTATATGGGATGCAAATTTCATTGCTTGTACGAAGAATAACTTCCTAGTATTTGTTTGGTTGAAATAGGATCTTTAGTGGAATCGGATTGGAAGTATTCTGCGATATTTTATAGATTATCATCAAATTGGATTTAGTAGTTTGCAACTGGTTGGTAATGTTGGATGCGCCCCAAGTACATGCCAAGAATTCATCTTTGTGGTTAATGAATAGAATTTGAGGGATCAACGACTTGTATTCACTGCCCAAAGAAGGGCTATGTTCAGATATCATATCCTACTTGCATATACATGATGCGGATTGATTTCCAATCTGTTTTGGTTACAACTTGAAATTTATTTGTGGAAAATTTCTTATGTGATTTTACCTTCACGAGGAGGTTCAGGCGATAGTTTTGCTCATCTGGGGGTTTGGGATTAACATACTTTTTGTCTTACAGGGTCTGGGTCCAGCTACTTGTATGGATTTTTCGATCAAGCATGGAAAGAAGGAATGACCAAAGATGAAGCAGAGGTATGTATCTGTTGATGTTTGCAGGTAGAAAGGTTTTGTAACTGCCTTGGAACAAATTTGTCATAGAAAGTTCTAGACCGTTGAACTTGACTTGGACAGTACTTTACATTGATAAATGCTACAATCTCGAGGGAGCTTTGACCTCAAAAAAGGGATTGTTATGCTATCTTTATGAGAAGTTTCTCTTAGTTTGTTGTTAACTGCTGTTTGGTGGCATTTTTGCAGCAATTAGTGGTCAAAGCCGTGTCTCTCGCCATTGCACGAGATGGTGCCAGTGGGGGTGTTGTCCGCACTGTAGTTGTAAGTTTTTCTTCCCCTCAACTCTAATCATGACTAAGCAATCCTATCGCACTTGTGTTTGCACCATACATGACCACAGATTGGCTAAGTTTTGTTTGTGTGCTTGTGCAGATAAATTCTGAGGGAGTGACCCGAAACTACTACCCTGGTGACAAGCTTCCACTCTGGCACGAGGAGTTGGAGCCTCAGAATTCATTGTTGGATATCTTGAACACCGCGATTCCCGAGCCTATGAACATACAATGAAGATCTTGCTCTACTGATAGGAGTCTGGCAACTGTTTATTAGTTTTTCTTTAACTCCAAACTCTGTTTACAATGAGGAATAGGGTGTTCAACTCCATCTTGGGAGATTTTCTCATCTTTTGTGATTTAGTTGTTGTATGTTTGGTTCAATCAACAAATGCTTAGATTCTAGTTATTGTGGCTTGTGCATGTTTCCTCTTGTCTCAATTCCCTATCAAGATTCCAACTCTTTCTACAGTATCACTCGACGCTCGGAAGAAATTTCTATTTTTGAAAAATATATTTGATTTCCGATAAACAAATGCAGAATATTCGAAAAAATAAACTTAAGCTCAGAATTTTCTTCATAACATATATAACGTCATCAGCAATCATTCAAGCAATCGTAATTATTCTGATAGGCATTTAAAAATTACAAAAATTAAAAGAAAATTTAAAAATCATCAGATATATGTCGTGTAGTGATTGTTTCGTCCCCAACGAATTGGAGAAGCTACGGCCTCAAAAAGCGACCACCAACCTCCACGTCGTATTGGTTTACAATAAGAATTTCCAAAGAAAATAATAAAATCCAGGAAGAAATAGTAGAGAGAGAGAGAGAGAGAGAGAGAGAGAGAGAGAGATGAGTGCGATGAGCTCAGTGGCGATGGCTCAGTCTGAGAGCCTTCACAAGGTGTTCGTGTACGGCAGCCTCATGGCGGATGACGTTTGCAGAGTCCTCTTAAATCGTGTCCCTCAATCTTCCCCTGCCATCCTCAATGGCTAGTCAGTCTCTCTCTCTCTCTCTCTCTCTCTCTCTCTCTCTCTCTCTCTCACAAATGCTTTTTCTGGTTGTCATTTTTGATAATTTACCAAAAAAAGAAAGAGAAAAAAGAAGTGAAATTTGACGATGATGATGATGATGTGAAATATGTAGCCATAGGTATAGCATCAAAGGACGAGTTTATCCGGCGATTCTACCGGTCGAGAATGACAAAGTTACTGGCAAGGCAAGGCCTAAGCCCTCTTCTGATCATTTTTAAAATTAGTTATGTATTAATTAATTGTAAATGTTTGATTAAGAAAGGAGGGTGCTTTGTTTTGTTCTTGGGCAGCTCCTGTTGGGCATCACAGATCCTGAATTACATATTCTGGATGAATTTGAGGATGTTGAGTATGAGAGGAGCACTGTTGAGGTCTCCTTGGTGGTAAGTTGGTAGCTCAAATGCATTCTTTACAATCTCATAATGTTTACTGTTACATCATAGTATGCAAATATCAAATTGAAGACGATGATTGGCAAAGGCTGGGTAGAAATTAGAAAGCTAAAAGAAAAAACCTACAATTTTGATGCATTTTTTTGTGATTGGAGCTAACCACTTCATCAGTTTTCATGACCTTTTGGGAAATGTTTGATGGATTTTGTTAATAAGCGTATGCCTTGTCTCAAGAACTTTGTAACCATTTTTTTCCAGGATAGTTCTGACAACTTGTTAGTTCAAGCTTACGTTTGGAGCAACAAAAGTGATCCAAATTTGTATGGAGATTGGAATTTTGAGGTAAAAGCTCTTCCATCCTACTTTATTTGAGTATAGTTGAGTATGAACAAGCAAGGGCCGAACCACCCTTAGACTAGAGTGCACTAAGAGTTCCCGAGACAAAGCCAGTCAGCCGCCCACACATAATAGACGGAAAAAAAAAAATTATACTGTTGAAATTCCTGGTTTTGGCCTAACTGCCGTTTCAGTACTTAACTACTGAGTTTAGAATTCTTATTTCAAAACAGGATGATATATATAGTCTTTGCTTTATGTCAAGATTTAGAGAACCCAAAATAAACTAGAGAACTAACTTCTATGTATACCGACGTAGTTTTTAGTTAGCACCTTAGTCAATTGTATTGTGTCTGACTTTCTTAGTTCCTTTGATCACTTAAAAATTGACAAGGAATGGAAGCAAATACACAAGAAAGATTTTATCAAGATGACTTCGGGTTTCATGGAAGAGCTGGAGCTGCCTGAAGCAAAGCCGAGAGTTGCAACATATGAATCATTTTTTCAGCAGGGTCCTGAGAATCCCGCCGTGTCGTGATGCTATATTCGATTCGATTTGTAGATTCTGACCCATATAAACAAAACAACATCTACCATTCTATGATTTATATAAATGCTATCCAGTGTGTTAATAATCGAAATAACTTGTTTGAGGCAATGGTGGTCAGGGCAAACTGTTTATTACCCATTTGTTTGTAGGTTTTGTTCTGTTTGTTTGGCTGAAGGTTTGGGCCAGATTCAATATTCTACTTTTCTCATTATCTTGATTGGAATTTATATGTTTCCAGAGCAATGTTGTACTAAACTTATGAGAAATCTTGATTGGAACCGGTGTCAGAAGAAAGAACCAATCATTTCATATCCCTACTTTGAATCTTTGAATTTCGTCATGTTTTAATCTGTACCTCAGAAAAATCAAAACCATATGGAATGAAAAATATATATAATTTTATTAATTTTATTTGAACTTCAATAATATTATTGTTATACTGCCAATACGCCAATACATCCACAAGACAGTTGTACCATTGGTGAGATTCTTGAAAAGGTTCATAAATTTAAACCCAAATTAATAAATTACTAGACATTTTACATTCCCGTAAATTACTCATTTGGATTGACAGAGGGACGGCGTCGTATTCTTAGATATCCAAACTTGCCTGCACCAGGTGATGAGCCCTCAAAAATATATGGCAAGTACCCTGTTGCATCCTTGTATCTCTGCTGAATCTGGATGCATCAAAATCAACCATTCTATCAATAAACTCAATTTCTGGTATAATAATGTTTAATTAAGTAAAATACTGTTTGCCTGATAAAATTACCTCCAAAATTTGTTGGCTGCTCTGTAGAGAATTCCTACCAACTGCACAAACTGTCCCACCAGAACCTCCTCCTGTAATCTTGGCTCCATATAGTGTCCCGTCGCCAGATTTAGATGCTTTACTGTGTTGCATCTCTTGTACCAACCGTACAAGGCGGTTTGTTCCGTCGGAGCCAAGTCCACAGGCACTGTAGCTGTAGTGGCACTGCAAAAAAGAAGAGCATGTCCAGCAATCTAAGATTCTGTAGCTCAATAAATAATCCATGCAATATATTTAAAGCTAGGTGCTAACTCAATGATTTAACGAAAAGGAAAAATTCAGGTAGTGCTTGATTGGCTTAAGCAAACTCATTTACTGCCCAGCCAGCAAGTAGCTCGAGATTTGTCGGTACATGGACCAAGGCATACACTGGTCCTCCAATTATCTATAGGACGAAAGGATGTGAACCTGGTGGTACTTGATTCCTATGCTAAAAATGGTCTCGTTCACTATTTTCCGTAGTCTTGTCTATAATTGTGCTGAAGAGGAGTTCGAATTACAGGTTTTCTTCAACTATTTGTACGTACCTGGTACAGTAACTCTCCAAGAGCTGTAAGCTGATCATCTGAATTTGCAGATGTTAACAGTGCTTTGAATGCCTATACATTAAACAGTAAACCATGTAGCTTAGATTATAGGAAGAATAAAAGCATTTAGAGATAGATGTATTGAAAGGCATAAAAAATCTGGGTACCTTAACTCGGAAATTTTCATATATAGGATGTTTAGCAGGTGCTGTCACTCCATAGTTACGGTTTGGATCAATTACTGTAACTGGATCATTGTGACCATCATACTTCTCAAGAAAAGTTTCACCAAGTATAGAGTCAGGAAGCATCTTAACATAAAGAGCCTCGTATCTGAAATTCAAGTTTTGGAATAAATAAACAATCCTTTATAGGACCAATACAATTTTAAAAGTAGTTTAGCTATAAACATCACCTTTGTTTATTTTTGGCCAGTAACTGCACCTTAGTTTTTAAGAAATTATTTAAAGGTGCCAGTAGAGAACATTACCTATGAGGTGACAGGTTGCACAAGTAATCTAATGAAGCTTCAGTTTCAAGTAGTTCAAAACCATTATCCTCTAACTCATCAGGGTTTGGTCCATTTTCAGTTCCTGATGATCGAGACAAAATAGCAGATGCTGCTAACTTTATCATCTTTCGACCCATGAAGGCACCTATTCTAACAGATCCGTAATCTGCACCTCCAACACTACCCAAGAAGAAAAATGGCAAGGCTTAGTACAAGTCGTTATTTTAGGATTAAAGATCAGAATAAGTCCTGATATAGATCATATAATAAAAACTCCATCAACAAATGGTTTAAGCTGATCAAACGTTTACTAGAATTGTGAGAACTGGGAGCAAATGTTAAAATTCATGGAAAAAGTTGATATAGATCTCCTACCTGTGTCGTATTCCTGAATCAATTCCCCAAAATCGGATATGACCAGGAATTTCTACAAGTCCAAGAACCTCAGCAGGCTGTACAAAGAACCAAAAAGAAAAATGATATGATTTCTCAATATGTAAAATGTTGCAGCAGAGTTGTTTTCAGAAACATTAACGGATACCTGGCACAACATTGCAAGAAGCTTATTGGCTTCACCGCATGCAGAAGTCATCTGGTCCATCACACCACACGGAGCTCCAACAATATGATTCTCCACCTAATAAACAACTAGGATAATCAAGGAAATTTTCAAAAGAAAACCACTAGCTTGTTGATTATAATACAGTGCTGAAGGTGCAACCTTTTGGCAAAGCAAAGCAAGATCTCTGGGGCTGATGCTTAATCCTACAAAGCACAGGAGTAGGTTTTAGTCATTTAGTTTTCCATGTTCATAACTTAATAAACAAAATGAATAGTCAATACTTAAATTTTAAAAAAAGTTTATTAGGCCCAAATATGCAGTACTTTAAATAAACCAGAAATAGAACTTTCTAAGTCAAACAAACAACATGATAAATAACCAGCTTAATATCAAAAGAAGAAACCAAGCATGCAAATGTGTAAGTATTTCCACACAAATATTCTTCATGAATTGCCATGAAATTTTCTTTTGGGATAACAAAGATAAACCTGTACAACTCTATACAAGTTAATAATAAATCTGAAGTTACAAATGAAAAGGCCTGATTTAGTAGCTGGGTAAGTTAACAAATGTTGTCATTTTTTCTAGAAACAAGGAAGAAACAATAAGAATATTATGCAAGAAGCTAAAAAGGACCACTTCTATTATATGTAGAAAATGAAATTAGAAAAGCTAAAAAAAGAATTTGAAGAC